TAGTAACGATCTCTTCATACCCCGTTGACCGTTCGGGGATCAGTTATTATCTGGGAAAATATTACCCAGATGAAAATACTCTCAATATATTGAATGCAAAATTTAGAAATATATTCTTTAAAAATGTTAATATATTTTGTAACCAAATCTTTTCTTCTTTTCTCTCTCTCTCTCTCTCACTTACACAATGTTCATGCACGAATACAGGACACAGGGGTCGGAAGTAAATTGAAATGGGGGGTGGGGGTGGGGTAAACAAACAGAAAAATGTAAACTTCAATAATTTCCCATGCCTATATTATGTCTGTATTTGCATTTTTTTTTGGGGGGGGGGGGAGGCTAACCCCCTTGTCCCCCCCTTTCCATTCCAAGGCTTGTGCAGGAATGGATTAAACTTTTCCTTGACAGAAAAGGGAACACAATAATAAAACATCAGATATGGAATCAGAACTATAAACGAAATTTTAACTTTGGGCAATGATGAAGAATTACATTTTTTGGATAACGTAGAATTCAGGTTTAGTATTGCCCAAGTTATCTGCAGTTGTATTATTTGTTTGCAATAAATTCCTCTCCAACAATATTTTCCTGAAAAGGGGGGAACTTTTTTTAAAATGCTAATATATAGAACAATACAGTTGGTAAACAATCATTTTCCGTAAAAGTTTGAACCTGGGTTGAGTCTACATATATGTCATCTTCGGTAGCCAAGGGTTTCCAATCCGAAAGCTACTCTACTTGTGAAGTCGATTTCAGATTGGAAACCCTCGGCTAGCGAAGATGACTTGTTTATATAATAAATATGATTTTAAAATGTGCATGTTCTTGTGTATGTCAAATTTACCTATTCAAGAACTTTTATATAAAATAAGATTTTTCCCAAATCTTAAATGAGAAGGGGTTTTCTGCCCGTGGCAACTCGGGCTAATTTGTTACATGGTAAAGAAAAGTATCAGTAAACGATTTTAATTGTCCATGGACCTTTCTAATGCATAAACTGCATCAATATTCAAAGCGGTCGATACAGGGTGTATCAAATATATAATTAGTCATCAGTTTTAACAACAAATATAGCTTAAAATAAAGTACAATGTAATCATGAACCTAAGAAAATGAAATGATAATATTCTAAAATATGAAATAAGAAATACATGTACTTATATACAATTTTATGTACAAATGAACTGATCCACGTTAAAACTTGTCAGTCAGAAAGAAAAATACGTGTAGAATTTAGAATTAAATTATATTTGTCACTTTACAGAAACTTTTCAATTCATTGTTGAACCCCCCCCCCCCGTTCCCCACCCCTGTACATAGAAAACGTTTAATTTCCTAGCGAGATTTATGCATGCATTTAGAAGAACTGATCTTGGTATTTACCGCAAATGGTTCTCTTGCACATATACAAAAAACTTGTCCGAACAACTTTTTCATGATGAACATAAATTGTGCCTCGTTTTTTTTCTCGCAATAATTATTCTAGCTTTCAAGTTGTCTATCTCTTTGCTTTATCCAATTATGCTATGTAACAACATCTTATATTAGCTACAGACATGTAGCTCGCTGGAATGCAGCTGGAAAAAATAAGGATGTCCAGCCAGGAAGCTTATTGTGCACAAAAGCGCACTTTTCCCATTTATCAGTATTTCTGCGTTATATAAATTATGCTACCACCTAAACAATTTCCTAACCGTGTTCTCCTAGCACATTCACTACGCCCACAACAAAAAATTCCCAAAACTGTTGTTCATAGCCCTTCTGGGCCTGATATATTGAGTCCATCGAAAATTGGGTAATATATATACTCATTGGTAGATCCAGAGGGGGGGGGGTCCGGGGGTTGGAACCCCCTTTATTTTTTGCCAAGTAGAGAGAGGGAGAAAGAAAGAGAGAGAGAGGGGTACAGCGTTTTCCGAAAATAAATATTTGTAGTCTAAAATTACATGTAAAACTAGTTGAGTGAGGTATAATGTTTTTGACCCGTCCGTCAGAGTGTCAGAGTGTCAGTCAGTCAGTCCTTTTTTTTGTCAGCGCAACTCCTCATAAACCGCTGCACAGAATTTCGTCAAACTTTGCAGGTATTTAGGACACAATGTGTAGAAGTGCATATTACCAGGAAATTCCGATTCCATTATTTCTTCCGGGAATTTCCACACTTTTTAATTTTGAGTTTTTGCCGTATCTTGTATATAGAGATGAACTGTGTCAGCGCAACTCCTCATAAACTGCTGCACAGAATTTCGTCAAACTTTGCAGATATTTAGGACACAATGTATAGATGTGCTTTTTACCAGGATATTCCGATTCCTTTATTTTTCTGGGAATTTCTTTATAATTTTTGTTTGACTTATCGTATGTTACTTTCAACTGATCAAGCTTGTATTGTCGGCGTCTGGTAAGCAATGTAAAAAGCTTTGCATATGTTTTAGCGGAATTTTTTTACTTTCGTGTGACTAATATTTTACTTTTTTCTAATTTTTTATTTACGTACTTATTTTTTGAAAAATATTTTTTTGCAATTATTTCCTCTCATCATATAGCATTTATTTTCTAAAATTTAGCGGCAGACAGTACAAGTTTGACCTACATGGGAGGGGGGATAATTGTACACTCTAGGCCTTCTGGAAGCGTGTGCAATAGCCCATGACCGCGATTGATCACATATATTTGGAATTGTAACTATCGCAGAGTAGAGAAATATGGCGGACACCGCTTTGCTCGTTGTGTATAATATAGGTTTAAGAATTTGCACGATAGCTTTAACTAATGTAAACTATATCTTTGAGGGGGATCTGTACTTCAAGATGGAAATCAAATTTTGTAGACTATTGTTCAATGCTTGTGAAAAATATTATTTGTTTTCTAGTCTGATACCTTTTTTCGACTTTCCTTTTAAGAAATGAATTAGTTTAATGAAGTTCCATTGCAAAATAATCGACAAAAATATAAGCTATTCCTTTAGTCCTTTGATTATTTAAAAAAAAATATTTCCCCTTAAAAATCAGTTTTATTTTTATTCCAGATCACACGAGTCTAATATATCTGGGCTGAATGAATCATGCAATATTCAGGCCTAAGAATATTCAAGTTTCTTTTCTGTGAGTATATATAATTTTCATGTAAGATATTGTTTCATGTAAGTTTTGAGAAAATGCATTATCGCTATGAAATACCATTATATTTTATTATAGTTCACTACACATTTATTTCTGAACAAACTTAAGAGTAAACAATAAAGGAGTAAAGAAACCTAATAACTTCAAAGTTGGTGAATTTTTATTGAAATTATGGCAAACTCATGAAAATATTTTAAATGTGTTTAAGTACAATCATAGAAATGATGTTTTTTGAAAATGGAATTCGACGTATATATAAAAGCAAAGCAGAATCCATAATAACAAGATTTAAATATATATATATGTCACTACACTTAATTCTTTTTAAAAAAAACCACAAATTGTTTAAGAAGTCTTTGCAATGGATGAGAAGTCACAAACATGTATTTTCTGATATAAATAAAACCCCATTTGCAGGAAATCAAATGCTTATCAATCACTAATTGTATATTGAACAAATCTGGAGACTATTTTATAAAGAATGCCAAACAAAGCGATGACTTATTTTCTTTGTGGTGTTAATTTTGTTTACCTTTGTCTACATTTGATTTAATTATAACTACTCTTCGAAAATACAGTGTGCACTCACAAAATAATATGCATTAAACAAACAAACTATAGACTTATATTTAAGTATCTGAGAGAAGCGTTTGTATTAATCATATATTTTGAAATCCTTTTAATTTATATGTACTTATTTAACCTCACCGGGAACAAGGAGAAGACGAGTAGATAGTCTCTCAGCCCAATTTTATTTTCTTATACATTGTACATAGCTGTACATAGCTGTCTGTAGCAAATTGAAAGTTGTCACCCCCTCGAAGGTAAGCCTTTATTTTCAATGTCCATATTTCTTTTCAAAACATTTGTGTGCCTAAGACCCCCCTCCCGGTACCGATGCCTATGCTACACCCAAATATATGTATATGCATAACTGGTATGATGTTGAAAACTTTCAATAAATTTTAATTTACATATTAAATGCATGCAAACTGGAAAAATTAAAACAGTAAAACATTTAAGATAGATAGAATTTTCAGAATATGGAAAAATCAAAATCGCTCACTTTCAGGTGTTGAAGTGACCTCATCGACAAAGAGTTATCAAATAGGTTTAATTATTTATCATATCTTCGATTTGCAAGAATATTGACCAAGCAACAAATTTTTTTTTCAAAGTGCGTTTATATGGTCAATATTAACTCACTTTTAAAAAAAAATTTTATTTAAAGTGCGTTGATTTGGTTCCAAATTTAACGCACTTTGAAAAAAAAATCACAGTGCGTAATTTCTTAAAGTGTGTTGTAACAGTGGGATCAGGTGCCATGGAGGAGTAAGCAAGCATCCTCTGCCACCCGGTCAGACCACCTTGAGCTCCAGCTTCTGGTCATGATAGAAAAATACCTGATAAATCCATCGACAATTCAATTAGTATACGGACATACACATTAAATAATGCAGTGCATTCTGAGATCAGGGGGGTTGTCTGTCCAAGGCCATCGTTCTTCGATTTAAATATATCTTCGAGTGAAGCTTTTATCCTCTTTATCTATTTCAAACGTTACTATTAAATAAAAAAGCTTTCTTAACTTTAAAGTTTTTTTTTGGTGTTAAAAAAGAAGTAGTATGATAAGCAGAATTACTTTCAAGTTTCATTACACAGAACATACACTCTCCAGTGTGTTCTTCATGCTTTGGTAATCAAAGATAGAGAGATTAAAATGTAATGGGGAATTTAAAGATGTCCATATAGAATAAGTAAATTTAAGAAAACTTTTGACAAGTATTTTTATTTTACCAAATGCAGATTTTTATAATCTACATAGGAATGAAGGAATGAATATCATAGTATGTATGATATCTGAACTTATTTTATTAACAGTTAGTAGCCTGGCTATCTTTTCACACCCTTGTCCAACGGTGCCATACACAGACGAATGTGGAAACCTTGGAATTCTATGGAACTGTAACGGACATAACACAGACAGATTGTCTGATAAAATACCACACAAGTTACAAAAACGTTATGTAACTTTGGATTTGTCGTTTAATAGATTTTCTATGTTAACAGAAAAGACTTTTGAAAATATTGCTGCTTTATCAGTTGTGTCATCCATAATCCTGAATCATAACAAAATTATAAAAATCGAAAATAAGACCTTCCATAGACTTTCTGGTTTATGCAGTCTACATCTTTCAAATTGTGAGCTTGATAAAAAGGGAATAGAAGTTGAAGCTTTCTCCTATTTACATAACCTCAAGATTCTTCGAATTGATCAGAATTATTTCCAGTCAGATGGTTACCCGGATGTTGCCCTTTCTACAATTCAGTCATTATTGAGTCTTCATATCGACATTTTCAGCGGATTTTCATTTACAGCACCATTTAAAAACTTGACAAACTTAGCTGAATTAAAGTTTCATATTTTAAATGATTTTAGTTTGACAAATACTTCCTTTTTTGGACTTCGGCGCTCCAAAATTCATCGGCTTGGGATGTGTTTTCATAGTTACGTCTTTTGTGACGTCACTGAAGATCTGATTTGTTCCTTTCCATATATATTTATGATTTTCACGAATTGAAAACAAAGGTGTGACAATCAGATTAAAGTTTACTTTTTTAAGTCAGATATATTTTTTTCAAAGATTGCTATGTTTTACTGTGTACTATAGTATTCAGAACATGTTTAAGAACAATGATGTATATAATAATTATTTTTAGTTAGTTTTAAATTTAAGTCATTTATTTTATTTTGACGTTCTCGGTTTTCAAAACGTTTGAACTATTTGTTGTATTACTGAATGGTTAAATAAATTTTTAAAGCGTTGTAAAGTATGTTTTAACATGATTTATTCATTAATTTGTATACTGTATTTGATTGATATTTTATGTTAATAAAAATGAAAAAAAAAACACCAATTAGCCTATTAGTTCATATTTTCTTTCTAAGATTCATATTCTATTTAAATATTTTTAATCAAATAAATCAAATAAGCTGATATTTCACATTATTTCCCTTCATTAATATCTTATTATTGAGGCGTACTTGGGGTTTTTCGGTTCGAATGTTTCTTATTTCTTAGAAAGTAAGGGCAAATGATCATTTTAAAGTATCCAGTGCATCTAATGTGGTGATATTTTTTCTCCTTGTATATATAGGATCTCAAATATCGCTTCATCTATTTCCAGGACACTTAATAAAGACATAATGCGTTTACATTTTTTCGGTAACGATATTCTAACAAGTAAAAGTATTTTAATAAACATTTGAATTAGGGGTAATACACGAAGCAGGTAACGAAGTAATTAGTTTAGCATTGTTAACATAAAATAGATAAAATTTACATGCATGTAAAACCTCAGAAAAATGATTTTTAGCAATTGTACTTTCGTTATTCAAAACAATGGAAATAGTTAAAAAGAAGAAAAATAACAACACGGAAAATAATAGAGTTATAAACACTCCTTAAGAAACCTTTCTCCAATCTACATTATTGTTAAAGTTGATACTACTTTTGTTCTCTTTATTCTTTGCGTTTACGCCTAAATACACAATTAATGATTTAAGAATTTACAGTCAACTCGTACACAACCCGAATCGTACTCAAAAACGACATAAAAATAAATCACGCTATTTAATAAAATTATGTTTCATTTATATTGATAGTGTTCAAATAATGCTTAGACACATCCTCGTTCTCGACCAATTATACGATGCCTTCTTGTTACTTTCTAATCTGTTAGCACGATAAAAGGTATATAGTATAACAGAAATGACCGTTTATTCCTGCATTTAATTTTAGATATTTGTTCATCAATCACACTGAGAAGATGAATAGATTTTCTTTTGCAGGAGTATTAGTTCTTTTCTTACTTGAAATGTACGTGTAAATGCTATCTGAAAAGAAATGGAAACGTTCTTGTTAATAACACGGATTATTTAAACACAGAAAAAAATAATTGATTTTATCAATGAGAAATATCCGACTGTCCCTGAGATATGAATTATTATGAAACAAACGAGAGACATCAACACTGGTTTAATGTCAATCCTCTATAAAAAGGAAAAACCCTTGCAGTTTATTAAACTTTGACAGTCAATGAGGCGGAAACTTCAGCATTGAAAACGTCACCGGGTATCACACCAATTTATTAGAGCATAGCTGTAAATCCAAACAGGAAGTATATATTAGGCTTCAACCAGATATTTATAAGCTACTGACTGGCAATGTACATGTTACTGTCCTTTACAGGCCGTAAAATGCTTGGAAACGTTATTGTAAGTATAAGAATATCTATATAGTTGGTTTACATAAATAACCATTGGACGCCTGGCTTTATATTTTTGAGGGCTATAGAGGAACACGTGGTCTTTGAGGAAATAAATGTTAAAATTTAAGTAGCAGTTACAAAATTTGTGCATCAGATGGGTGTTCCGGAAAAAAAAATCCTAGTTCATTGACTAGAATAATTATGAAAAAAACGTATAATTTCATCATAAGAAAAAGACATGATTCTCATTAAAGTCACTTAGCTAATGTAAACAATATCTTTGGAGGGGGGATCTGTTCTTCAAGATGGAAATCAAATTTTGTAGACTATTGTTCAATGCTTGTAAAAAAATATTTATTTTATTTGTCGCCTAATTTGATTCCTTTTTACGACTTTCCTTTTAAGAAATGAATTCGTTAAATGAAGAATCCATTGCAAAATAATTGACAAAAATATTAGCAATTCCTTTAGTCCTTTGGTTTTATTTAAAAAAATATTTCCCCCTAAAAATCTATTTTATTTTTATTCCAGATCATCAGCTTTCTTTTCTGTGAGTATATATAATTTTCATATAACATGTTGTTTCATGTAAGTTTTGAGAAAATGCATGATCGCTAAAAATCCCATAATGTTTTGTTATAGTTCACTTCACATTTAATTCTGAACAAACTTAAGAGTACACAATAAAGGAGCAAAGAAATGTAATTACTTCAAAGTTGATGAATTTGTATTTAAATTATGACAAACTCATGAAAATATGTTAAACGTGTTTAAGTACAATCATAGGAATAATGTTTTTCTTAAATTGGACTTCGATGCATATATAAAAACAAAGCAGACTCCATAATAATAAGATTTAAGTGTATTGTAATAAATGCTCTATTCACAAACACTCGCTTTATCATCTTTATGGCTGCAGAACAGAGCTGCAAATGTGCTTCAGGTACATATACATACGAACTGAGTTGTTCATTATTGCCCGCATTTAAGAGCACATAAAAATATATATGTCACTACGCTTAATTCTTTTTTCAAAAACCAGATCTAGAAATTGTTTAAGAAGTCTTTGCGATGGATGAGAAGTCACAAACTTGTATTTTCTGATATAAATAAAACCTCATGTGCAGGAAACTGTCACGACAGCCGTCGTGCTCTGTTCAGTCAGATATAACAAGATTTTTTTTTCTATTTACAATTTTTTTTATCTATAAATAAAATCAATAAAAACAATATTCACAATATATTTACATATATTATTTACAATAAATAGAACTTAAAGTCTCTTATAATCCTCAATAGCGTTGGCTCAGAACCACATCCACGCAGACACGCCCCGTTTCACGACGGACTCCCGCCAACTGGCTCCCAGTGGGTATCCCGGTCTGGTTAAGGTCGTCACCAACACACACATGGCTAGATCATAATTGGATTACATCAGGAACCTTTAAACTAAATAACATTTTTAAGTCACAGCCTACGTATACAACAGGAAAAACTCAAGTCACCATTGACTACAATTGCACTAATGGCACACCATACAAAACAGTATCGGTATTTCTAACCAAACACTGTCAAATACAAAGACAACGTTAAGGTTTCGTCAAAGGTCAACATGACTAAAAAATTGTTTTTACAATAGCTCCAAAACTATGTGTGGTATAAAGTCAAAACGTTTAAAGTTTACAAATATATCATTGATTAATAGATAGAAAGTATCGCTTGATAACAAATATTTTTAAAAAGATATTTTTTGAGAAAAATTGTGTCAGAAAATGTGCATATTTAAAGAAAAGTGCACCTCCTTAATTATGTCTTTTTTGTGAAAACCATCATTGCAGAAATGATATATGTTTATCATTGAAGAGCAAGTTGGACGTGAATGGTCTCTGAAAGGCTGTTATTGAAAGCATGACATGTATAAAGACAGGACTCCTATAAAATACGCCATTTGCAATGTACTTTCACTTTCAAGTCTTAAAATTTGGACAAAATAAACAGGGAAAACAACTTTCCAGAGGCTATCCAAGTCCAACTTGCCCTTCATTGATAAACATATTTTGTTTCTGCAATAATGGTTTTCACGAAGAGCG